AAAAGTTAAAACAGTTGAACACTTGTAGCCAGTTGAACACTATTGATTTATATAATAAAAAATAAATAAATAAAATTACTATTTAAGAGAATTTTTATTCAATGTATAACATTAAAGCAATCTTATTGTAACTGGTTTATAAAATTTTTTAAAACAAGTTTAATAGGTTTAGAACATCTATCCTTATCTAGATGTAGAAAATAGTTATCTACGAAGAAAATAACTTCAAGTAAATATTTAATGATTTCTTTGTTTTCAGCACCTGTTTTATAAATTGTTATATACATCTGCCTCCGTATATTTGCACCTGAAAGCAACATTGATTTTACCTGTAGGCATCATTTATTTTGTTTGTAGAACATTGTTTCTAATACAGGTGCATCCTTTATGAAAACTTATTCCTTCATTTTGATTTCCAACTTTAATAAGACAACAAATTTACTTTAATTAAAACACTATTTTTGAAAGGTAGATTGCATTATCTCTTTTTTTTTTTTTTTAAATACTGAAAAATTTTTGAAATTTTTATTACATAAATAACTGCTCGAAAGATTTTACCGAAATTTTATACGCTAGAAAGATTTTCGACCTTTAGAAATGCTCTCAACATCATCATCATCACCATCATCATCATTATTATCATTATCATTATCTCTGCAAAGGTTTGATTTATTTAATACATAATTGAATTTAAATTTATGCTATTTTAAAAATAATAATCTAAATTATTTAATTTATTCAACAAGATTTAAAGAGTTTTTCCCAAGAAAATATTAATATTTAATACACCAAATTTTATAGATAATATATATATATAGAAGATTAATAAGTAAATTAAAAATTAGATAATTAATTAAAAAAAACAATTTTATTTTCACAAATGCATTAACATTTTTAACATTAATTTTATTTATATACCAGCTTAAAAACTGGATAATAAAATACAAAATACATCGTAAAAATCTATGCTTTATATATAATTTTATCAATATAATTTGAAGAATTTCAATTTAATTTTAAGCCAGAAGTTAAAAATTATTTACATTTATACGAATTATAAATAATCAGATATTAAATATAAAAGCCATCAATAATTTTGATTCATTCTTTTCTATTTTAAGAACACATTTCGTAGAAAATTCGTATTATTATTATTATTTTTTTAAATATTAAATATTAATATAAAAATACATTAAAAAACAAAATAAAATATTAAAAGTATATCATTTTAAATACATATTTAATTACATTTCTAATATAGTAATATTACTTAAATTTTAAATAATAGTCATTACACTTCACTTTGCAAAATTGCATATTTTTTTCTTTTTACAAGTGAAAAATATAAATCGAATTTTATAAAATGACAAAAATCAAATAGACTTCATATTACTTCCTAATTGAAAAGGAAACACTTTTTTTTTAATATTATTATTATTATTTTTTTTTTTATTATTTTTTATTTTTCGTTCCACCACTTCTACTTGCTGTTCCTCCCTTACTCTGTCATCGAACGGCTTGGAGTAAATCAAATAAGTTGAAATGTAATTACACGCTGAGGAAAAAAGAAAAAAAAAAAAAAGAACAGATGCCAGTTCAATAACAGAGAGTGCTGCTCCTGTACTACATGCCTATCCGTGCCTTGCACTTCTACCTTTAGGCAAAAGTAAGTGTGAAGATTATAGTGTACGCGTGTCAACCGGCCTTTAAATCCGATTTTAAGATTTTCGTTTTTATAAAATAAAAGATTTGATTTAATTTAAATTTCAGCTCTTTTATTATTATTTTTTTAATTCCCGAAAATCTCGCGGTTTTCGATAAACAATGTGTAAACAATGTACGAAAAAAATCAAGCGGATTATCGCGAAGTGATAAGCCTGGGGCATACCAAACAGCAGAGGCTCGGAGTCTCGCAGCCCCTGATTACAGGGCTCTAATAGGCATTGCTATATCCCCCTGGGTGGTCCATTCCAGGCCTGACAATTTGTCGACCTTGGATGACCTCCACTGTACTTATCCACTGATTTTGGTTGCGGCCCTATTGCGCCATCAAGAATAATAAAGGCGTTGAGTGTGTCTTAGTGGATAGGTATCCGAGTCGATTAACCGTTATGGTGTCTGACGTCACTGAAGTTCTCCGTTACGCTAGACAAATTGGGTTTGCAACGTCCTCTTTAGCCGTGATCTTAACAAATAGAGGAGACGTATTAAAAAAAATATAACAACATTGACAGGATCGGAATAAAATCTAAATATTTAATTAGAGATTAAAATTTTGGTTAATTAAGTTAGAATGCTAACGTCTTTATAAAAAGGACCAGCGTGAAAAGTAATTCTAGGGGTGCTTAACTTGATACTTAGTTTACTTAAGAAGAAGGGATGTTGTAACTGTAGTTACACATGCTTCTCTTAAATACGTGATCTGGCTAATCCTCAATGACAACTACATCCCTTAAAGTTTGAACATTTAGTTAAGGGATCTTAAGCTCGATACCTCGCAAAAATCCCCTCGACAGCTGCCAAATTGCTGCACCTGTGCCTGTATTTTAGGAAGGAAATGTAGTCGGATTATCTTCCTTGATCTGAATGGTTGCTTTAAGTAGTTGATAACGTCTGCTTTTCTCTAGTGGAAAGAAAAGTTAATATAATGTATGAGGTAATTTTAGAGGACAGATATATCGTGTGACATGAGGTATGTGCAATGATTTTTGATCTTTTTTTCCTGAAGAGGCGAAGAAACAACTGCTATTAGAGTACTTCAGTTATAAACAAGTGTTAAGGTGACAAGTGATTAGATGTTGAACATGAATTAAAGATAAAATATGTTGAAATTTGTAAGATAAAGTATGAGTACAAATATGAGCTTGATATTCATAATTTAATGTTTTTTTATTTTAGAGGAAATTGCTTATAAAACATTGAATTTTAATCTTTCAGATAAATATCTATAAAGTAAACTTACCTTTATTTTAAATTTACTTAATCAGAAAATATAGAGCAAAATGCTTAATCGTTAGCTTAATATTTAATAGAACTTTAGAAGTTATATATTAATATTACAAAAGGAAATTTTAATAATATAAACTATAGCAAATTTCACAGGCCTCTTNATTATCAACGATACTTATAATTATCATTCAATTTTTTCCTATAAATTCCATTTTGAAAATCAAAATGCACCTTAAATTCGAATGTAGTATGGTGTTATTTCATAAGTTTACAAGATATTAAATGAAAAAAATCATTATTAATGCATATTTTTCAATTTTTTTTGTCTAGTTCATAAGAAACTACTGCTACAATGGTAAGTTAAATTATCTATTATTAAAATAATTAAAAATAATAAATCGATTGAACAAACCTAATGTCGTTGTAGAAGATTTACATAAGCTATTAAACAGAACTAGCTTAGTTTGATGATTAAAAAAAACTACAATTAATGAAGATCCGACATCCTGTTTGGGCACACGATGCTATCGCGCATGTGTGGACAATAAAAAAAAAAGCGCAGTGATATTTCAATAAAGGAACGTGTTGTATACAAAGGAGAAAGTTTTCATCCACGATTCGATCAGCGAATAGATAAAGTGCTGTTTCAATAAAGCTTCTTTGGACATTGACAGCATCTTACTTTGTCAAAGATTTATTGGTTAATCTTAGATCTACGTCGAATGCACGAAGAAAAAGTTTAAATGTGTTATATTTAAATGNTTTCATCCACGATTCGATCAGCGAATAGATAAAGTGCTGTTTCAATAAAGCTTCTTTGGGTTATTCGTGACCGTACAGACATTCTACACGTCCTCGTAAATCACTTGAGCGTGATCGTTCCTCTACTCTGTCCTCCGAATTTCCCATTAAGAGCGCAGTGGGATATCTGTCAACTTGCTGCCCTCCTCTCATTGGTTGTTGTTACCTTTGACAATCATTCTCTTGCTCCAATGGTAGGTCTCGTTGATACTTTTCTTCTTGCCGACTTCTGATAGAATTATTATTCGTTTAATTCTAACCGTAGGTATGCCTAATTGGGACAAACATTCCATGACAACGTCCAAAGTTCTTATGTGATTTGAATAACAGTTTTTATCCAGTCTTCAAACCACTAATATGTAATAAAAGAATCGACTTACTGTAATATATTTATGCTAATTTTAAATGAAAACCAATGTACAAAATATTGTTACAGACAGGGGAGGATTTTAACTTTATGGAGCCTTGTGCTTGAGGCTTTTTAGAGAACACTTTTTTTAAATTTTTAAATAATAAATTTTACACACGAAGCAACATTTTATTAATGTTGTCATTAAGTAAAAGTTAATTAAGTAAAGCGTAAAGTAGTGGCTGACCAGTGGCCTCGTTAATTATTATTATTATTTTAATTTTAACAAGAAATTTCTACATTGTTATTGTTTTACATTTCTATATTCTATCCCTTATTTAACAGTACTGTATACATACTTTGTATTGTGTCTTAGGGCTCCTAAGAGTTGGGGGGGCCCTTTACTCCATCCCTATTAAGCCCTTATATAGATCAGTCACCGGTTACAACTTTAATAAATATAACTGATCATAAATATCTAAAAATTCTTAATGGGTAACTTTAAATTAGCTATGTAACTAAATTTTAAAATGTATATATCCTGTTCATTTAAAAATACGTCGAGGGGATTACATAGAAACTTCTTGGATCGTAAAATATAAGAATTATCGAATATTTTTTTTCGATTTAATTCCAAATATTCAAATGCTCAAATTTGTCGACATTGACGATCTTAATTAAGAAGACGATGAGGGTAAAACGAAAAAAGAGCAACATAGTTAGCATTATAATCGAGATGTCTTGTCAGACTAGTAGATGAGGCGCCTTCATGCCCTGTAGATATGAGGGCAAAGTCGACAACAGTATCACTAGAGGCGCGAACGAATTGAGTCAGCTCCAAAATTTCAGGGGTAACATGATTTCCCCTTAGGTCTTTTATTTTCTATAGATTTTTATTTTGTTTTTTTCCTTACACATCTCGGTTAGATGAATCTATCGAAAAGGTTCTATTTTCTCTTATTCGTGAAATAAATAGGTTTAACAAGATTTCGAAAGCCTGGCAAGTGTGTAAGTGTAAAGATTATTTCAAATTTTCTAATCTATCGAATCTAACAGTTTTGAATAATATTTAGATTTGTATTTAAAATTTTTCTTTTGTAATACATCACCTCTTTCTTTTTAGCTTTACTAAGAATTTTCTTGATCCTTTAAGTAAATCTTCCAGGAAAGATTTAATAAATTTCAGATTTCGAATTGTATAGAGCTTAAAAAAAAGGTGTGAAGTGTTTATGGGTAATGTTAAACAGCAGGGTTTCTTTAGTAGTAATTTGCGGAATGTTATATCCAGATTTATATTTTATTTCTCAAAGTTTAAAGGCAGGTAAGTTAAATTAGAGTTTTTTTTTTTTTTATTCTATAAGGTTATGCAGATTCCTTTAGAAGTTTTTTTTTTCTGGAAGTAAATTAGTTTTATATTTATAACAAAACATAATTACTTAAATTCCTTTATGTTTATTTATTAAAATAAGTTATAAAGTAAAATATAAGTCTGTAAAAAAAAATCGGACGAAAAGCGAAGAAGCTTTAACTAAATTTGAATAATTTACATAAATTTAATTATACCTAACAACTTTTTCTTATTTAATATAGGACTATAAGTAAGTTAACATCTTAAGCATAAATTTTCCTATATATTATAATTAACTAATAACTTTAGGCTAAGGAATTTTGTAATTAAAATGATAATGATTAATTTTCCTATAATTTAATTTAGAATGTTACGAAATTCTAATCTTAGGTAATTGATGATCTAATGAGCCTATAGGAAAACAAGTTAACTCAAGAATTAAAGTAAGTAAAAATAATAAAACAGGGTAATAAACTTAATAATAAAGTAAAACGATACAATAAGTAGTTATTGAAGACAATGTAACCGAACTTAATCTAAAAAGTGCAAAGGAATTAAATAATTAAATTCGAAGAATACAAAAATAAAAGAATATAAAAGTATTATTATTATTATTATTATTAGGACAACATCTGATTGAAAAAAAAAAAGTCTAAAGAAGAAAACTGAGTTATGAGTCAGAGATTTAACTTAGACGGATTCAATGGGAAACTGAGAGAGAAAAATAAAAATATATCTGTGAGATTAAAAAATAAAGATATCAAGGAAAGAAACAATAAAGATTTTAAATTGAAAAAAAAAACAGAGTAGAAATTTATTGGTACAAATGATCTAAGTTTAAGCCAACAACTTCTCTCGAATAACACGGGTTAAAATAATAAAAATGAACACAAATTAAAATATTAAGGGAATAAATACATGAAGTTAATTCATTAATTACGCTATTACATATTCGAAATTATTTAAATAATAATAATAAGAAGCTTAAACATAAATAATTTTCTTATAAAAAAAAAAGAAAACACGTTATATTTTATCATTTCTACATCTACACAATCGTATAAATTAGAAGGATTAATGTATTGTCTTTACGAATTCTATTGTTAATATGGACATATCATATTTTAAATATAATTTTATCAACAAGATTTAAAGAATTTAGTTTAATTTTAAGCGTACTTAACGTAAGAGAAGTTTAAAAAATAAATAAAAAAATAATACGTAAGCATCTTTTCATTTTAAACGATTAATAATGTTATTATTATTATATTCAGTAAAGTCATGTTCTGTTACTTCGCAACGCATATAATTAATTTTTTAAAGAGTTTGTTTTATTTGACGTGTTATATAGCCTAACAGAATATAAATGAAAAGATTATATCAATGGTAAACAAAAAGGGAAAAATATTATAATAGGCCTTCTGTTTCGTGAATTAGAAAAAAGTATTATACAGTAAACTCTCCATTTAACGAATTAATTTGGGTTCGCCATTGCCAAAAATCCGTTAAATAGAGTATTAATAACGAACTTAAAATGTTGTTATAATGTATAAGTTTGAATAAAATAATATAATATATATTCTTTAATCCAATAAAATGTTTTTAAATCTTTTATATCGAACAGAAATTGTCAGTCTGTTAATTAAATCGGGGTTAATCTCTTCACAGAAGATAATTTCAGAAATGGCGATTTGTTTTTAAGATATGGTATCACACGAGGAATCCCTTATAAATTTGAATTCAACTCAATAAATCTACCTAGCAATGAAACTTTAAAGAAACATTCATTATTAATCACCATAGATCACATGTTATCGATTTTTTTTCCCTTATTAAGTATTCGCAATAAGGTAAAGACTATTTTTTTTTTGTTTTTCAGCCGATATACGATAAAATAAAAATATAAAATAATTATATTTCTTGCTATTTAAACAGAAAATTCAGCATCTGTCAACATTTATCAATAATTTATCGATAAAATAAGAAGAATAAGAAGGGGGAAAAAAGAAATCTATTAATATTTATATTTAAATATAGTCAGATTGTTCGTTTTAGTTTATTAAATATTAATTAAATTTTCAAATTAATGAACTTGTAATTATTCTGTATAATATTATAGAATAATACGAATGTTTCCCTTTCTCTACAATGGAAATTTATTCATTTGTATGTTTGAATATTTGATTTAATTAATGAGAAAAGTCGGTAATTTAAAAATAAATTATTCTAATTTATAAATATTTAACAGATTTACTTAAGATGTAAACAACTTTTTCTATTAAACAAAGTGCATTCTGTAGTGTTAACTACAATGTTTGTTAAAATAAAATAGGCCTAAAGATATTAATTTCAAAGTTAAACTATTAATTTTTGTAATTTTTATAAGCTTTAATATCAAATTTAATAAACTGAAAGCATTATTATTGTGATATTTACTTTATAATTTTCACAATAAAAACTATTATTATTATTATTATTAACCTACCTAAAACATTATCTCGGATACGAGTTAACTGGACTAAACTTCAAAATTTTAATTAAATTAGATGTGTTAATTTAAATTAAAATCTATAAGAATTTATAAATATAAATAGGCCTATCGCTAATTTGTAAGATTAATTATGGGATGAAGTTGTATAAATTAATTTTATCCGCAACAAGATCGATATATTTTTTTTCCCCTTCAGAAATTAGTTTAATGTAATGCTAATTTTTACATTCAATTATCGGGAAGATTTTATTTAAATTCGCATTAAAAAAATTTATTCTGATAGTTTATAGGCCTATTATTAATTTTATAAAGAAATTTGCATAGGCCCTAAATAAAAATGTCCCCCTTTTTATATATTAAATCGAATATGTACAAATTTTAAAACAAGTGTAAATTCTTATTCTAAAAGTAAACTTTAAATATAAAAGACAATACTTAAATAATAAACTGTTTCTATACTATATTATACAGAAACAGTTTAGGCCCTATTAGTTTAAGTGTTACGTTTCTCCTCGATCTAATGAAAATTAAGTTTATCATTATCAGTAGATGTAAATTAAGTTAATATTCGATATTATAATGAGTAGAACGGTTAAAAATTACAATAATTTTATAGTTAACATTTACAAAATGCCACTGTAACCTGCTGTAACTTACACGTCGTTGTTACACGTTGCAACACCAAATTCACATCTTCGTATCTGTAATTTTCCAAAATTATTATCTAAAATAGGTATAAATTCAAAAATAATCATATTTATTATATAATTTAAAGTATTTTATAAATGAAATTTACAAAAATAGTTCTTAAACCAAATAAGATGTATTAGAAAAAAGTGAACTAACTTATATAAATACACTATAACTGCTTATTGTTATAACACATAAAAAAAACTGTTATTAATAAAGTAATTATTAAAATAATATATTAATAAAATTAATTTAATTAAAGTGTTAAATGTACTGTACAAGAATACTTTTTAAGTTCTTCATTAAAATAAGTATAAAAGTTAAAACAGTTGAACACTTGTAGCCAGTTGAACACTATTGATTTATATAATAAAAAATAAATAAATAAAATTACTATTTAAGAGAATTTTTATTCAATGTATAACATTAAAGCAATCTTATTGTAACTGGTTTATAAAATTTTTTAAAACAAGTTTAATAGGTTTAGAACATCTATCCTTATCTAGATGTAGAAAATAGTTATCTACGAAGAAAATAACTTCAAGTAAATATTTAATGATTTCTTTGTTTTCAGCACCTGTTTTATAAATTGTTATATACATCTGCCTCCGTATATTTGCACCTGAAAGCAACATTGATTTTACCTGTAGGCATCATTTATTTTGTTTGTAGAACATTGTTTCTAATACAGGTGCATCCTTTATGAAAACTTATTCCTTCATTTTGATTTCCAACTTTAATAAGACAACAAATTTACTTTAATTAAAACACTATTTTTGAAAGGTAGATTGCATTATCTCTTTTTTTTTTTTTTTAAATACTGAAAAATTTTTGAAATTTTTATTACATAAATAACTGCTCGAAAGATTTTACCGAAATTTTATACGCTAGAAAGATTTTCGACCTTTAGAAATGCTCTCAACATCATCATCATCACCATCATCATCATTATTATCATTATCATTATCTCTGCAAAGGTTTGATTTATTTAATACATAATTGAATTTAAATTTATGCTATTTTAAAAATAATAATCTAAATTATTTAATTTATTCAACAAGATTTAAAGAGTTTTTCCCAAGAAAATATTAATATTTAATACACCAAATTTTATAGATAATATATATATATAGAAGATTAATAAGTAAATTAAAAATTAGATAATTAATTAAAAAAAACAATTTTATTTTCACAAATGCATTAACATTTTTAACATTAATTTTATTTATATACCAGCTTAAAAACTGGATAATAAAATACAAAATACATCGTAAAAATCTATGCTTTATATATAATTTTATCAATATAATTTGAAGAATTTCAATTTAATTTTAAGCCAGAAGTTAAAAATTATTTACATTTATACGAATTATAAATAATCAGATATTAAATATAAAAGCCATCAATAATTTTGATTCATTCTTTTCTATTTTAAGAACACATTTCGTAGAAAATTCGTATTATTATTATTATTTTTTTAAATATTAAATATTAATATAAAAATACATTAAAAAACAAAATAAAATATTAAAAGTATATCATTTTAAATACATATTTAATTACATTTCTAATATAGTAATATTACTTAAATTTTAAATAATAGTCATTACACTTCACTTTGCAAAATTGCATATTTTTTTCTTTTTACAAGTGAAAAATATAAATCGAATTTTATAAAATGACAAAAATCAAATAGACTTCATATTACTTCCTAATTGAAAAGGAAACACTTTTTTTTTAATATTATTATTATTATTTTTTTTTTTATTATTTTTTATTTTTCGTTCCACCACTTCTACTTGCTGTTCCTCCCTTACTCTGTCATCGAACGGCTTGGAGTAAATCAAATAAGTTGAAATGTAATTACACGCTGAGGAAAAAAGAAAAAAAAAAAAAGAACAGATGCCAGTTCAATAACAGAGAGTGCTGCTCCTGTACTACATGCCTATCCGTGCCTTGCACTTCTACCTTTAGGCAAAAGTAAGTGTGAAGATTATAGTGTACGCGTGTCAACCGGCCTTTAAATCCGATTTTAAGATTTTCGTTTTTATAAAATAAAAGATTTGATTTAATTTAAATTTCAGCTCTTTTATTATTATTTTTTTAATTCCCGAAAATCTCGCGGTTTTCGATAAACAATGTGTAAACAATGTACGAAAAAAATCAAGCGGATTATCGCGAAGTGATAAGCCTGGGGCATACCAAACAGCAGAGGCTCGGAGTCTCGCAGCCCCTGATTACAGGGCTCTAATAGGCATTGCTATATCCCCCTGGGTGGTCCATTCCAGGCCTGACAATTTGTCGACCTTGGATGACCTCCACTGTACTTATCCACTGATTTTGGTTGCGGCCCTATTGCGCCATCAAGAATAATAAAGGCGTTGAGTGTGTCTTAGTGGATAGGTATCCGAGTCGATTAACCGTTATGGTGTCTGACGTCACTGAAGTTCTCCGTTACGCTAGACAAATTGGGTTTGCAACGTCCTCTTTAGCCGTGATCTTAACAAATAGAGGAGACGTATTAAAAAAAATATAACAACATTGACAGGATCGGAATAAAATCTAAATATTTAATTAGAGATTAAAATTTTGGTTAATTAAGTTAGAATGCTAACGTCTTTATAAAAAGGACCAGCGTGAAAAGTAATTCTAGGGGTGCTTAACTTGATACTTAGTTTACTTAAGAAGAAGGGATGTTGTAACTGTAGTTACACATGCTTCTCTTAAATACGTGATCTGGCTAATCCTCAATGAC